CATTTTATAAATATATTACTCTTGTTTACCTGCTAATAAAATATGAAAGAAGAGAAAAAATCAATTTTCCAGACACTAAATATAACCTGTTGAAACTTTAAAACTAATTGAAATTATTTAAAACTATATCTATAAGTACTTCTACGCGATTATCTACGTCGTCACGGTAGAAGCCAAGTAGGATCAAGGAATCTCGGAATTCATTCCCAGATCAGACCTGAAACTAAGAGATAATCAACCTTCTCCCAAAAACATCCCTCCTAGCAAATCCTATCATTCCAAACTTCCCTGGGCCGGATTAAGGTGTTATACGACCCGTGCCGATAATCAACCTAGCTGGGGGCCCAAACACATAGCCCAGTCGCGAACGGAGTATCCGGATACCTGGCGCCTTCCGGGTTATTTAGCCTTGTCTAGGTACGGCGGATCTCTGCCTAGATGGGCTTCTTTTCTCCGGAACTCGTGGGACTAGAATGAAGAAACATAAAAATAAAAATAGCAATGAGTCCGACACTCATAAAATGTCGGAAAGGAAATTGGCAAAGCCAAATCCGTGCAGTAAAGCTGGAACTTCGTAGAAAGCGAATCTAGCACCAAAACCGGAGGCTGGCAACAGAGAAGCGAAAAGCACTAGCGCTATACCAAAGGTGAAGCAACAGTCCCAACCAGGGCCAAGGTGCCGTGCACGAAGCTATGACTCAGTTAGAGCTAGTGCCGGTAGCAACTCATTGGCTGCAATCACTCAGACTACCCAGAGCAAGCAAAGAGTGTCAAGATTAATCACGCCCTCACAACGGGCTTACAGGGAAAGGCGGTCAGCGTTCAGGAGTCGACTTTTCATATTAACAGTAATCTTAGCTTATTGAGGCAGTGGTTTCCGGTTCACAAACTAATTGCTAGTGAAAAAACTAAGTTAATGTTCTTCAGTCTTCGTTATTGTGTACCTCTGGACTTCAATTTCGTATTTCACTCCTCTGGTTGTAATAAATTTTGTCCTAATAATTGTGATGGTAGTAATTCTTATAATTCTTTACGTTTTTCTATAGAAATAATTAATAAATTTAAATATCTAAGTGTAATTATAGATAGCAGGCTAAGTTGGGGAGAGCACACTCTACAACTCAAATCTTATTTTCGTTATGTCTTACGTAAATTTTATCGTTTAAGAAAAATTTCCTCCCAAAAGGTTTTACTATGGTATTTTTCAATCAAAACTGCAGTACGGAATATGCTGCTGGGGTGGTTCTTGTGAAAATAAACTCTACCCGCTCCTTATTTTACAGAAGTTTGTTGTTAGGAGAATTTCCAACACAAACCATTTGTATCATAGTATGCCATGTTTAGAAAACGAAATATTCTGCAGGTTAGCTAATTGTACTACTACAGGGCATTGAAGGAATTTTTTATTAGGGGTGGATATTTAAATAGCAGAATTTATAATAATTATGGTTTACGTACTAACATGGAATCTTGAGAACGTTCCCAATTTTAGAACCATCAACTACCGCAATTTTTATGATATTGTCCCTGTTCGATTGCTTAAGAGGCTACCGGAAACTATACGAGTCATTAGAGTTTTGAAAAAATTTATGAAGGACGTTAAAATCTGGCTCATGAGTTTTGAGTATAATGAAATTGCTAACTTGTTGATAAGTTTAATTTGATTTATTTTTAATGCATTGCAAATAATTTTTTTTTTTAATTCAATAACTATTTAAACTTATTTTCCTTAATGAATTTTTTGTCGAATTTTTTTTTGACATGAACTTATAAATATGAATTTTGATGATTTACTAAGTTTTAAGGAAAATTTGAATTTTTTCGTTATATTTTTGAAATATGAATTCTTTATAATGTATATTATAAGTAGGTGTTACATATAGTTTTATTAACACTTTTTTAAAAAATTTCAAAATTTGTAGCTCAGTTGGTAGAGCGTCCGCCTAGAAAGCGGTAGGTCACTGGTTCGAGTCCAGTTCGAGGAGAAAAATTTTTTTAATGAATTTTTCTGCCTTTAACTCGTTCCTTTGATTACGTCATCCATCTGTTCTGCAGTTGCATGGAAAAATTTCCATTAAATAAATTAGTAGTGTACGTAATAAGCACATTCTTATTAATTCGCAACTATGATGTTGTATTAGTAAAATTCATAATTTAATTAATGCAATAGGCACAATCCTATAAATATATATGTTCTTGTTATTGTGTGTTTCAATAGTAGATTGTATGTAGCAATCAATGTAAACAAAACAAATACTTAGTAATCATGTGAATTACAGTATAAGCAATGTAGAGAACATTTCGTCGGCAATTTCTTCATGCCTCTGTAGCTCAGTTGGTAGAGCGTCCGCCTAGAAAGCGGTAGGTCACTGGTTCGAGTCCAGTTCGAGGAGAAAAATTTTTTTAATGAATTTTTCTGCCTTTAACTCGTTCCTTTGATTACGTCATCCATCTGTTCTGCAGTTGCATGAAGAAATTTCCATTAAGATAAATTAGTAGTGTAATAAGCACATTCTTATTAATTCGCAACTATGATGTTGTATAAGTAAAATTCATAACTGTACTTATTCTTAAATTTAAAGTCAATTCGTAATTGCTTTTTGTTTTATTTTGTTTTTAAATATAAAATCATGATGTGCTTACTAATCTTCAGTTAAGTTTTGTATTTACGTAAATTATTTAAATTAATTCAATTTAATAGTTCGATAGTAGTAATTAGACATTACTTCTATATTATTATCAAATATGTATCTATAATATAAAAAGAGAATAAAGATTAACATAACATAAAAAAGCTTTCCCCAGGTTATGAAAGAGAACCCAGGCCCATATCCCTCTTACAGAGATTAAGGTTGGCATCAGGGATATGTCAAGCTCGTGGCCTGTGCTGATAATGGGTTATTTGACCTTTATAAGAAGGCAATAGCCAGGATAGGAGAGCTTTGGTCCGGCGCGAGCCTCGTGGTCAGTAGTTAAAATATGAGGGTTCTGGCTTTTCTGGCGCAAGGCGCAAAAATTTTTTTACAATTTGTATGGAATTTTCCTAAAACTTGTATAGAATGGACTAGGTGTATAGGTGGTAAAATATGTATGAGTGTTCTTATAGAATTGTGTGGTATTATAGAATTGAGATATGGTTTATAATTTATGTTTAGAAAGGTGATGTTTTTTGAGCGTTATGCTGTTTCTGGACGAGGGAATGAAGTCAACGAGGTTGTCAGGCTGGGAGCTGGATGCTAGGCTGGAGGATATATGTAGCGGTACTTGTTGAGGAGATTTAGTGCGGCGGGTTTTAGGGGGAAGTTCTCAACGAACTTGGCAGGCTAGGAGCTGGAGGGTAGGTGCGGCGGCGGCGGTTGTTGAGGAGAGTTGTTGCGATTGTTGCGACGGCGGGTTTTGGGGGGAATTGAATGGAGTTGGCGTTTGAACGAGCAGACTGGAAAAATAGGTTTTTGGCAGCCTGTATTTTAGTAAAAATTCTATAAAAATGTATCCTATAATTGTTATTTATTATATTTTATTGAAGGTCTTTTTATTTTTTATTATTCTTCTAAAATAATGTATGAAAATCGTACATTTTTAGCAATAGCACCCTAAAGAGTTTTTAAAAAATGCGAAATAAAAAGTTTTGAGATAAGAAAATTTTTTGCGGTTTTTATTAAAAAAGAAAAAAAAACCTATGTATGTGTATATATGTGTATAGAATGAAGAAATTAAAAAATTATACAATGCTAGATGTGTGAATTTGAAAGAAAAATTATATCAGGAGATTACCTATAATTAGAATAGTATTATGTTATGATAAACATGATAGCATATGGTTTCTATTTGATTAAAATACAATACTATCAAAGTTTGTCAATTGAACAACTCAAGTTTTAAAATATACTTATTTATTTGATAAATATCAAGACGTGTATATTAAAGACGTAAATATATTAAGAAATAAAGTATATTGATATTTAATTTAAAAAAAAAAAAGAAAAAAATTTAAAAAATTATGTGAAGTTTGTGGAAAATTTATAGACGGTAAAAGTTTATAAAAACATTTGAATTATGTACATGAAAATAAGGGAGCAAAAAATTTCAGGTGCTCTATATGTGAAAAAGACTTTAATGGACAAGATAATCTTTCACAACACATAAAAAATATTCATATTAATAATAAAATAATGAAAAGAAATCATAGTGAAAATATAGATAATTTTATAATGATTGAAAAAGAGAAAAGAAAAACTGAATTTTTAACGGAGAATATTATTAAATGTGATTATTGTGATGTGGAAATTGATAAAAAATACTGGAGTTATCACATTCGCACAAACGCACATAAACTGAAAGCATTTAAACTCTATGAAGGAAATATAAAATTTATTGAAAAAGCATTTAAAGGAAGGATTGCTACTTATGTATTAGAGAATAAATATGAAGATATTTTATTGCCAGAAGAGTTTTTTAAATTAGTGGAAAGTTAATTAATAAGTTTTTTAAAAAGAGAATATTTAAAAATATCAATGTTCAAATTTAATATTGAATTGTTTGCTGAATATATAAAACCGCATAAATTAGATGATTCTGATGAAGTGAAAAATAGTTTTTCTGTTAAATCCTTTAATAGTAAAATGTAAATTATTCAAGAAGAAAATGATATAGAAAATATGTTGAAGGATATGGTAAAGATGGTTGTCACGCAAACTGAAGAATTTCAAGAAAAAGATTCTGGATGGAGTCTAAGTAAATTACTTCATTTAGAAATAAATGTAAATGAATATAAACCTTTGAAAGGTCACATTATATTGAATTTCCAAAAGAAATTAAAAATATAATTAAAGACATGTATTAATATGAAAAATAATGATGTATGTACATATATTGTTTTAAATGGTGTCTAATATCGGCATTACAAAATAAAAGAATAAAGAATTCAAATAAATGTCAAATGTATAATATTAATAATATAGAAGCATCCACATTAATTTTAAATGATTCAAAATTACCTCAAATAGAGTTTAGTAATTTACAATTTCCACTACATTTTACCGATGTATCAAAATTTTAAGAAATGAATCCTGGAATAAGTATAACAGTATATGGATATGAGAAAGGTTCTAAAAATTCTATCAAAATAGTATGACCATATTATCACACAAAAAAGCAAAAAATATCCATATTGAAATCTAATTTATTAACAGAAGGTGAAATATCACATTATGTTTGGATTAAAAACCTTTCAAGATTAATTCGCAGTCAAATTTCCAAACATAACAACCGTTGCTATTATTGCCGTACTTGCTTATGTACATTTTCTTCAGAGAAAAATTTATTACTTCATAAACAAAGCTGTATAATATAATTACAAAGTTACCTGACCCCCAAAATAAATTCACTAAATTCAAAAATTATCATAAAGAAATGAAGGTACCATTTGTGATTTATGCGGATTCAGAATGTTTATTGGAGGTTATTTCAACTTGTGAACTTAATCCCTCAATTTCCCAATTCGTCAACAAGCAATATTAAGAAACATATTCCAATAGCATTTTCTTATTATATCAAATCTTCATTTGATAACAATCTAGACGAATATAAAATGGTATGTTAATTGTAGTTCCAAATTTTGAATTATAATAATAAATCTTTTTTTTTTGTTTTAATATGATTGAATTGTAGAAAAGAGTTTATAACAACATTATTAGAAGATTGTACAAGACTTTACGAAAACTATTTGAAAGAACCGGAACCGATAAACGAATTAACTAGGGAAGAAGAACTCGATTTTGGTAATAGAAGAGCATGTCATATTTGTGAGAAAAATTTTTCATCAGATGATCATTGTCATTTCTGTCATATGAGTCTCATTTAATATTTAAAGAACTAAATATTGTCAAGGAGGCTCTTTCGGTTTTACCTTTAAACAAAGAAACTTATATTTCTGTAACCAAAATATTAAGATAAATGGAAAGAAAGAACATTTTCAATTAAAATTTTTAGATTCTTTTAGATTCATGCAATCTAATCTTGATTCATTAGCTCAAAATTTAGGAAGGGAAAATTTTGCCACTATTAGGAACAACTTTTCAAATAATGAGCAATTTGAATTATTGATTCATAAAGGGGTTTTTCCGTATGAATATATGGACTCAATTGGAAAGCTCAATGTAACTTCTGTACCTTCTCAAGAAGCATTCAGCAATCAGATGACTAATACTTTTTGTTCGGATGGAGATTATCTTCATGCTTAAAAGATTTGGAATGTGTTTGAGTGTATACTCTTAAAGATTATCTAGAACTTTATTTGAAGACTGATGTTCTTTTGCTAACAGATGTTTTTGAAAATTTTCGTAATATTTGCATTAAAATTTATAATTTAGATCCAGCTCAATATTTAACATTACCTAGTCTTACATGGAATGCTATGCTAAAATACACAAAAATTGAATTAGAATTATTTGATGATATTTATATATAATTTTTTTAAAAGAGGTATCCGTGGAGGTATCAGCCAATGTTCAAAAACATATAGTAAAGCAAACAGTAAATATATGGGGAATGAATATGATTCTAATAAACCATCTGAATATATAACATATTTAGATGCAAACAATTTATATGGATGGGCTATGTTCCAATTACTTCCCTATGGTTCATTTAAATGGCTTGATAATCCATCAGATTTTCAAGTTAATGAAATTTCAGATGATTCAGAATTTAAAAACTTTTTCAAATTAATGAATAATACTGTTTATGGTAAGACCATGGAAAATGTAGACAAAAGAAAAATTGTTAAAATATCAAACTCTTGGGAAGGTAAACGAAAACATCCGGGTGCGAGACAATTAATTATGAGACCAAATTTTCATAGTATTTCTATATTTAATGAAGATCTTTCTACTATTCAGTTAAATAAAGTAGAAGTTGTGTATGATAAACCGATTTATTTAGGGTTCACTGTTTTAAAATTATCTAAATATCATATGTATAACTTTCATTATAACTATATGAAATCAAAGTATGGTTTAAATATTAATTTAAACTATATGTTATGGATACAGATAGTTTTATATACTCGTATAGTATAAAAACTGATGATTCTTATAATGATATAAGACTAGACGTACTTGAAACTAATAAAGAAAAATTAATTTTCGATACTTCTGATTATAATAAAAATAATAAATATGGTTTAGCTCTTGTTAATAAAAAAATAAGTGGGTGGTTTAAAGGTGAGGTTAATGGAAAAATTGTGAAAGAATTTATAGGACTCAAGTCATTTATAGGTCAAAAATGTATTTATTAGATGTTTCATATGATAAAATAAAAAAACATTAAAGGTGTTAAAAAAAATTTTGTAAAAAAATTAACAACTGATGATTACAGAAAATGTTTATTTGAAAACATTACTTTATATGATAGAATGAACATTTCCAAATCAAAATTACATGTAATTTAAACTCAATGTCTCAATAAAGTAGTTTTGAATTCTTTAGATGATAAAAGATATATTTTGAAAAATAATGTAGACACCCTTGCATTGGGTCATTTTAAAATTTTGTAATTAAAAAAATAAAAAAAAATGACATGTGTATTCTTAAAAAAACTTAAAAGTTTTCTTTTTTATGAACTTTACCCTCAAAGAATCTCAAACTGACATCTCTTTTCATAGCCGTACGAACGTATGTTCAAAGGGTATACTAAATTTGCCTTACCGTTTGTAACGCTAAGAAATAACGGTTTTAGATATAGACTCAAGTGTATGCTTTTGATCAGCGTCAAATTCTGAGTTGATTTAGCTTTGTCTGTCCGTTCGTCCATTCATCCATCCCAACGATAACTCAAAAACTAATTGAGCTAAGTTGATCAAATTTTCACAAATGATTTATTGTAGTAAGTGCCAGAACCCTATTTAAATTGGACATGATCGGGGCAATTGTTCGGGTAGCTGCCATACAACTTCAAAATTTATTTGGCTATGTTTCAGAAACTATAAAAGCTGTGGCATTGAAATTTAACTTAAGCAAATATATTAGTAGGGCCGATGCGCTTGATAAAATTCGTTAAAATTTCTTGGCTCTTTCTGGTGGCTACCATACAACTTCAATAGTAGTTTGGCACACATTGTTTTGAAAAACATATAGCACTGAAATTTTGCATAAATTAATACGGTAATACGGCAATTTAAAGTCATAGTCTGTCCCATAGTCAGTTATGGCATCTTTATTCGCACATAGGATAACAAATTCGTACGGGTACGGGTACAATCACAGAGTTGACAAGGTCAACTCTATTTTTTTTTTCGTTTATTTCAAATGTTGCTTTTTTTGCTGATATTATGTTTTTAGTAGGTATAATTTATTTAAAATATTATTCAATTATATCTATTTTTTTCAGCTTTGCAATAATTGAGTTGATTTCGGTGTAATTATTATAGTTGCCAGCTATTTGTGATGAAGTTAAAATTTTTTATTCCGTCAACTAATTCGTTTGGAATATCCCAGCGAGTAAACTGCGTTGGTGTTTCCAATGTGGACGATTGCATTAAAAAATTTGGTATGGCTAAAATTCCTCCTGATTTGATATTTCCGATTCTATTGTTGTTAGCTGAATCTTTAATATTCTTGTCAAGTGCATCTTTTTCCAAATTTTCTTGCTTAGGTAAATTAGTAACAGTAAAATAGTAAATTAGTATTAGTAAAATTGATTTGTAATGGTAGTAGTTAGTTCATTAATGGATATCACAATAGGTTTAAATGTTTTCTTTAAAGCATTTTCTCGTGTCATTTGTTGAAGATTTACTACATAATATTTTTTACGTTAATCTTTTCTGATTTTAATCAACATATTTATATTGATAACATAACACCACGTTACGTGCTAAGTTTTCCAATTGAGTCCATATATTCATACGGAAAAACCCCTTTATGAATCAATAATTCAAATTGCTCATTATTTGAAAAGTTTTTCTTAATGTTTGCGAAATTTTCCCTTCCTAAATTTTGAGCTAATGAATCAAGACTAGATTGCATAAATCTAAAAGAATCTAAAAATTTTAATTGAAAATTTTCTTTCTTTCCATTTAACTTAATATTCTTGGTTACAGAAATATAAGTCGGTAAAACCCAAAGCGCCTCCTTGACAAAATTTAATTTTTTAAATATTAAATGAAACTCATAACAAGAGAAATTGTGAAAGAAAACAGGAAAAAACTTAGGTAAACGATATAATATATTACAAGAATTATGTACGGAACCTCTGTATTCACCTGTTAAATGACAATGATCTTTAACGATGACTTCATCTGATGAAAAATTTTTCTCACAAATATGACATGCTCCTCTATTACTAAAATCGAGTTCTTCTTCCCTAGTTAATTCCTTTATCGGTTTCGGTTCTTTCAAATAGTTTTCGTAAAGTCTTGTACAATCTTCTAATAATCTTGTTATAAACTCTTTTCTACTTTATTTACTCTTTACTACTATATATTTATTATTATAATTCAAAATTTGAAACTACAATTAACATACCCGTAAACATTTTATATTCATCTAGACTCTAGATTGTTATCAAATGAAGATTTGACATAATAAGAAAATGCTATTGGAATATGTTTCTTAATATTGCTTGTTGACGAATTGGGAAATTGAGGGATTAAGTTCACAAGTTGAAATAACCTCCAATAAACATTCTGAATCCGCATAAATCACAAATGGTACCTTCATTTCTTTATGATAATTTTTGAATTTAATGAATTTATTTTGTGGGTCAAGTAACTTTGTAATTATATTATACAGCCTTGTTTATGAAGTAATAAATTTTTCTCTGAATAAATAAATTTGATATTTAATAAATTTGACTGCGAATTAATCTTGAAAGGTTTTCAATCCAAACATAATGTGATATTTCACCTTCTGTTAATAATAACATTTCAATATGGAGATTTTTTGCTTGTTTTTGCTGTTAAAGTCTTTTTCACATATAGAACACCTGAAATTTTTTGCTTCCTTATTTTCATGTACAGAATTCAAATGTTTTTGTAAACTTTTACCGTCTATAAATTTTCCACAAACTTCACATAATTTTTTAAACTTTTTTCTTTTTTTTTTTTTTAATTAAATATCAATATACTTTATTTCTTAATATATTTACGTCTTTAATATATACACGTCTTGATAGTTATGAAATAAATAAGTATATTTCAAAACTAGAGTTGTTCAATTGACAAACTTTAGATAGTATTATATTTTAATCAAATATAAACCATATGCTATCATGTTTATCATAGCATAATACTATTCTAATTATAGGTAATCTTCTGACGTCATTTTTCTTGCAAAGTCACACATCTAGCATTATATAATTTTTTAATTTCTTTATTCTATACTTCAAAACTTTTTATTTTGCATTTTTTAAAAACTATTTAGGGTACTATTACCAAAAATGTACGATTTTCATACATTATTCTAGAAGAATAATAAAAAATAAAAAAACCTTCAATAAAATATAATAAACAACAATTATAGGATACATTTTTATAGAATTTTTACTAAAATACAGACTGCCAAAAACCTATTTTTCCAGTCTGCTCGTTCAAAGGCGAACTCCATTCAACTCCACACAAAACCCGCTCTCGCCACCACCGCAACAACTCTACTCAACAACCACCGCCGCACATATCCTTCAGCCTAGCATCCAGCTCCCAGCCTGACAACTTCGTTGACTTCATTCCCCCGTCCAGAAACAGCATAACGCTCAAAAAACATCACCTTTCTAAACATACATGTATACATCATAAACCATATTTCAATTCTATAAGAACACCCATACATATTTTATCATACATCCACCCAGTCCATTATATACAAGTTTTAGAAAAATTCCATACAAATTGTAGAAAAATTTTTGCGCCTTGCGCCTGAAAAGCCAGAACCCCCATATTTTAACTACTGTCGTCGTTGCAAAGGACCATAATTCAAGCAGACCGCAAGCTCGCACCTGGATCCTAGCTGAGCCGTCGAACATGGTAACCATCCTAGAGATGATTCAGCTAGGCAACTCCAACTTGCCCACCGCCAACTGGAGGGTGGCCAAGTTAAAAGGGAAGAAGGACGACTACAGACAGGCCCTTATCACACTGAGTAAAGAATCGCTTGCTCTACTGGAGAGGCAGAACTTCGTTCTAAATTATGGGTTCTCCTCCATAATTCAGAAGGTATACAAAACTGGCACAAAAATGGAGGGATCCCAGAAGCCGTCGGACAGCAGGGAGGTAATCCCAGGAAGAGAGCCCGCGGTCGCCGACAAGAATAAGGCTGTTGAAGACTCCGCTTTCGTCAGTCTTCATCTGCATCTAGAGGAGCCGTTTTTGGAGCTGACCTAGATGATGCGGAATAGACGCTGGTGGAGGTTGATAAAAGCAGTAATGCTCCGAATAACGCAGATCAACCTCCACTGCTATAAAGGGGCGGAGAAGACATAGTTCTGGTCCAGGAACCCTGGCTGGCAGGTTGAAGTATTTGCAGACTTAGAACGGCAAACTGCAAACTGTTTCATAGCAACCGCGGCGCAAATGTAAGGTCATGCATATTAATTAAAAGTAACTTAAATGCTTTTCTGTCGTCTCTTTACAGCAATGAAAATTTGATTGCAGTTAGTCTCGAGGTCGCTGGCAGGATCTTCTGATGGGCTTCAATATACCTGCACTATGATTTCCAAGGCGTGCTTCTGGCCAACAATATGAGAGACTTAGTAAAGAAAACAGGGTCTCTCAGCACGGGCCTCATCACTGCGAGCGATGCCATTACGGGATCCGGGGGAGCTTGGACACCAATGGAATAGGTGTGCCACTTTTTGAGTTTATCCTAAATACTGATTTCACACTATGTAATATGGGCTTTTTATCACTAAAAATCGGTAGGAGGTTATAGATATAACCCTTGACTCGCAAATTGCTGCTGGCTTGGTCAGGAAATGGAAAGTATCGCGAGAGCACTCATTTTCTGATCATCGTTATATAGAGTTAGAATCTTTTGCTAGGCAGAATGTTACCTTGACTTTCAGAAACCGAATGCGGACTGACTGGTCAAAGTTCGCAGATTCGTTAAGCGATCTCCTGGAGATCACGGTTCTTTGCGTGCTAGGACGCCTGGGGACCTCGACATGGTGGGCACGCTCTCTGAGGTCATAAATAACACCTCCAGGGTTGCATGCCCTCTGACTCATATAAGAGACAAACAGAAACCACAGTAGAAGAGTTAAACGCCCTTCGGAAAAAATGTAGAACTAAATTCAGCAAGGCGAAGTTCACCAGAGCACCATCTGATTGGCGTGCTTGCCAGGATGACCTCAGAGAATACAA